TCACATCAATGGTTACTTTGATCCTTATCCATTATTTCAGTGTTGCATTTGCGAACTTCACGGACCACTTTCCTAGGCAATTATATTTCTGCTATAAAATATGACTGATACTCTTTCTGCGTTGGCTTAGCCAGTCGTAACTAACTGTAACTGCTGTTTAACAAACCAGTCTAACTATCATTGCATGGTTTTATTCATATTGTGTTCCTTCATCTGTAATCAACATGATCAATCTTGTGTTGGCATATTATTTACAATACATTTGCTAGCAGTATACAGATCAGTTGGCACACCTTCCCATCCTCCTCCGACCCAATGTGGTAGACATATGGAAAAATCTTCTAGGAGAAACTGTATCTTTCAAAACTGAGTTATAGAAATATCTGATTGGGAACACAAATAAATAACACACTGCCTATTGGTAACATGTAAGAACAGAGTCGAGGCAGATGTGAGTTTAGTGGAGAATGGATATTGTACCTGGGCTTGTAAATTGCATTAACATCATGCATCCTAGTCTTACTTATATATTCCGATTTTAATTTCCTGTACCAACGATTATAATGGGAACTCAAAATACTTGTGGTAGCTATGTAGACTATAAAAGCTTTTTAGAAGATTTGTAGCTCAGGTTGTGATTGAGGTTGTAGACTTGCTAGCTGAGACAGTGTGTTTGATTGCAGACATTTTGTCATCGCACCTCCATTGAAGTGTTGGTGTTCTGTCCTGCTTGTTATTTATATGAGTCAGTTTGCTGGGGTGGTTGGCATCACTTGCAGTTCTGTTTTTCAGTGGTTTGCATATCATGTCCAGTTCAATGTGTTTGTTTTGTTTTTATTCATTCACGGGATGAGGGCGTCGCTGGCTAGGCAGCATTTATTGCTCATCCCTAATTGCCCAGAGGGCAGTTCAGAGTCAACCACATTGCTATGGATCTAGAGTCACTTATAGACCAAACCAGGTAAGGATGGCAGTTATCCTTCCCTAAAGGACATTAGTGAACCAGATGGGTTTTTCCAACAATCGACAATGGATTCGCGGTCATCATTAGATTGTTAATTCCACATCTTTATTGTTGATGGAATTCCAGTTGGAATGCCAGTCCTCCAGGAATTTCCTGGCAAGTCTCTGTTTGGATTGTGCTATTATGGATGTGTTGTCCCAGTCAAATTCGTGTCCTTCTTTGTCAGTGTGTATTGAGACCAGTGATAATTGGTCATGTCTCTTGGTGGCTAGTTATAGAATCATAGAATCCCTACAGTGTGGAAACAGTCCCTTCAGCCCAACAAGTCCACACTGACCCTCAGAGCACCCAAACCCATCCCCTGTAACCCACCGAAATGTACAAATCCCTGAACACTATAGGCAATTTAGTATGACCAATCCACCTAGCCTGCACATCTTTGGACTGTGGGAGAAAACCGGAGCACCCGGAGGAAACCCACACAGACACAGGGAGAATGTGCAAACTCCACACAGACAGTCACCCAAGGTTGGGAATTGAACCCGGGTCCCTGGAGCTGTGAGGCAGCAGTGCTAACCACTGTGCCATGGTATTCATGCATCCTTATTGTCAGTTTTCTTCCAGTTTGGCCTATGTAATGTTTTTCTCAGTCCTTGCATGGTATTTTGTATATTACATTAGTTTTATTGGTTGTTGGTTTGGGATTCTTTATATTCATCAGGAGCTATCGCAGGATGGTTGTTTGTTTGTGGGCTACCCTGTTACCTAGGGGACTGAGTAGTCAGTGGTTATCTCTGATATGTCTTTGATGTATGCTAGGGTGACTAGTGTGTCTGGCTATGTCATGTCTTCTGGTTGTGGTCTGTTGTGGAGGTAATGGTGGATTGTGCTGTTTTTTTTGCTGTGACAGCTACTGGTGAACATAAAAGATCCCACACCCACAACCAACTAAAACTAACATAATATATGAAATACCATGCAAGGACTGTGAGAAACATTACATAGGCCAAACAGGAAGAAAACTGACAATAAGAATACATGAACACAAACTAGCCGCCAGGGAATTCCTAGAGGTCTGACATTCCAACTAGAACTCCATTCACAAACACATTAAACTGGACCTGATATATAAACCACTGTAAAACAGAACCAGAAGTGAAGTCATCCACCCCAGCAAACCAAGGCATATAAATAACAAGCGGGACAGAACACCAATGCTTCACCAGAGGTGCACTAAGGACGTTACCTTAGATGAAACATCTGCAACCAAATACACGGGCTCAGCGAGCAAGTCTGCAACCTTATGTAAACTATATTTTCTTTATCATTGTAGGGGAGGAAACCATTCAGTCTACTATGCTTGTACTGGATCATGATAGACTTATTCAGTTACACCCAGTCTCCTGCTCCTTACTCAGAGTCCTGCACATTTTTCTCTTTCAAGTCTGTATCCAATTTTGTTTTGAAGTTACTAGTGAATCTGCTTCCAATATCCATTAAAGTGGTGCATCCTAAATCAAAATAACTCATTGTTTAGAAACAATTTTCCTTATTTTGTCCTTTTTTTGACTCATCTGTGTTCCCTAATTAGTGAACTTCCTTCAAATGGAAGCAATGACTTCTTATTTGAAACCCTTATGATTTTGAATTCCTTAACTTTATCTCCATTTTAACATGTTCAATCAGAAACAGAGGTGGACCATCTGGCCCATTGAGTCTATTCCACCATTCAGTGAGATCATGGCTGATCTGACAATCCTCATCTTCACCTTCCTTCCTTGTCAGCATAACTCTTGATTCCCTTCCTGATTAAAAAAATCTGTCTATCTCGGCCTTGAATATATCCAATGACTCAGCCTTGATAGTCCTCTGTGGTAAGGTGTTCTTCAGGTACACTACCTCTGACAGAAGAAATTCCTACACAACATTGTTTTTACAAGAAATGGTTGACACCTCATTCTGAGATGTCTCTGGTCCTGGACTATCCCCTAAGAGGAAATAATTTTTCTGCATTTACCTTGACAAACCCCTGAAGAATCCAATAAGTTTCAATCAGGTCACCACTCATTCTTTTGCACTCCAGTTAGTAAAAGTCCAAATTGCTTAACAGCTCATAAGAAAATCCATTCATGTCTGAGAACACAATATTTCAGATAAAGCCAAGGCAATGATTGCTGATCCAATTTTATGAATATATATTTGAGTATTGCTGAATAAAGACAAAATAAGTCACAGCCATTCACTGGTGCATTTCTCGGGGCAATGCCTTGACAATCTGATTCAACATGCCTGTTTTAAATTTTAAATAAAGCCTGACAGGTAACTGTCAATTGTCATTAATTGGTGAATTCTCCATGCCAGCACTCTTCCCTCACAAAGTATAAATATTGGTATTCCACTTTTTTGGGATTCTTGCAAATTGTCCTGATAAGTGCAAGACAAAAAAGCTTTGACTCTCTCTTTTTGGTAATACTCAAGTTCTGTACTAACAAACAGTGAGTAGATCTATGAAAATGTCCAATGTGCAGTCAACTAAAGCTGCTATCTCCATAGGCAGGTTTCTGCACTAAAGTTCTGGAAAACAGGGTGGCAGCACTAAATTCTCCAGGGCAACTAGTGATGGAAAGTACAGGCTGGTTTTTATGCGAACATTTTATGAACGAATGAAAAAAAAATTAAGCCAGTATATGTGACCCTCCCTACACTGTCAATTCATGAAACGGATAGGTACAACATTTTAAATCTGGAAGAGATTAATCAGAATCTAAAGGCCGTGACAAGTTAATGGTTTCAGTACTTTTGTTTTTCATGTCAAACTGTATGTCATCAGAAAAATGTGGCATCTCATAAAGTGCCTTTTTAAATCAATTAAATGTTAGATATGGCACACAAAACCCAGAAAATAGGAGCAGGAATAGGCCATTCAGCCCATCAAATCACACGACCATTCAGATATCCTCAGATATTGAAACATTCCATATCTAAACTAGCAAGACCTGGACAATATCCAGGTTTGAGCTGACAGGTGGCAAGTAACATTCACACCACACAAGTGACAAGCAATAATCATCTCCAACAGGAGATGATCTAACAATCACCCCTCAACTTTCAAAGGCATACTGTCACTGAATCACTCACTCTCAACATCTTGGGGATCAATCAGAAACCAAACTAGACCAGCCACTTATAATACTGAGGGCTAAAAGAGCAAGTCAGTGCCTCAGAACCTTGCAGTGAGTAACTCACCACCTGACTCTCCAAATCTTGTTCATCATCTACAAAGCACAAGTCAGGAGAGTGAAGGAACAATTCACACTTGTGTGAATGCTCAACAGGCTTGACACCATCCATGACAAAACAATCTGCTTGGTTGGCCTTCCATCCACAAACTTTCACTACCTCCACTGCCAATGCTCAATAGAAGCTATTCCATGCAGAAACTGAACAAGGCTCCTTAGATAGCACCTTCCAAACCCATGACCAATACCATCTAGAAGGACAAGTGCAGCAGATACACAGGAACATGAACATCTACAAGTCCCCCTCCAAACCACTTACCATCCTGACTTGGAAATATACCACCATTCCTCCACTGTTACTGGGTCAATATCCTGAAACTGTCCCATCAGCATTGTGGGTCCACCTATACCAAATGGACTGTAGTGGTTCAAGAGAAAAGTCACTACTACCTTCTCAACAGCAAGTAGGGATGGCAATAAATGCTGGCTAAGGCAGCGAAGCCCAAATCCCACACATGAATTAAAAAAAGGGCAATTTTCTCTCTCAATGCCTGACTCATGCTCTCTTCCGCATATCCCTCGACACCTTTAGCCTTAGATATACTCAGTGACCTGGCCTTTACAGCCTTCTGTGGTACAGAATTCCAAATGGTCACCATCCTGTGCTGAAGAAATTTCCCTTCATCTCAGTCTGAAATGGCCTATGGCATATTTAGAAACAGTGACCCCTTATTCTGCTCCTCTCCCCCACACCCTACCGAATGAGCCCCCCTTCCCCTCACCCCACTGGCCGGGGAAACATTATCCCTGCATCCAATCTGCCTAGCCCTGTGTTTTATGGGTAATTTGCACTGTCCAGTTATTGCTCAAGGTCAGCTCCCCTTGATTTCAATTGATTTCATTGTTTAACAGAAACTGAGGAAATATTCATTGCTTTTGATAAATTTTCACATTTATATATACGACAGAATGTGGAGCTAACAAGAAAATAAATCTGCATGGTCTAAAAGAAAAGTGTTGCATGATGCAAAAGAATTTCAAATAACTCATGTCACAATTCAATACGTCAGACCAACCCTATCAAACTCCTATCCACCATCTCACTCAAATCATCCAGTTCCCTTGACACAATTTACATTGTCCACTTCAATGTCCTCTCTTTGTAACTTTTTCAAAAGATCAATTAGCCCTTTGATGAATATGTTCTATTTGGCTTATTTTCTTACTCCTAATATCCTGGAATATATCTCCTAATCTTTTAAATTTGGTCTTCCAGCAGTTTGGGGATACTTTTACAGCCACTGCTTCCTCCCCTCACGATCCCATTGATCCTCATTGTTCCCTTCCTCTTTTTGAGGCTCCATCGTAGTTAACAAGTTACGTGCAAATTTGCTGACGCCGAACAGAAGTACAGGACCTGTGCAAGCCAGCAGGGATCAGAGACTAAATAAAGGTCTAGGTAAAGAACAACAGCATACTTTCAGATTTTTAGTTTAGTTTTGAAGGTTATTCCCAATTGGCAATTGAGAGGCTGCATAATACTGTTTGAGTTACAAGCCTGCTATCTCTCTTTTATACTTTACTGACAAATACAGCTTAGGTCAGTAATCAATCAATAACTATTTAACTTTTATAATGTCTCAAATCCATAACCTGACACATCTGAATGAATCCAGACTGGATCTTGCTAATCTGCAGATTTGATGCATGAGATTGGATATTAGTTTTTACATTTTTTCTCACTGAGGCAAGAGTTAATGGTTTCCATAATTTAACATTATCCATGACAAGATGGCAATAAAAATCACAAACAAGGGTTGCTTTTTCTATTCAATGTGAAGTAGAACTTCAATCTGCATTGTCCTTCAAGTCAGGAGAGAGGGTATTTTAAGGTGGATATTTGTCATGGGTTTTACCAGTCCCTTGATGTTAGGGCTTCTCCTTGTTCCTTAGACGTGTGCACTTTTGGCATGTGTCGGGTTTGTTATAGAGTTGGAGCCTTGTGAATTGGGGTAATACTGGTTTTCCTGGCGCTGTGGTGAAGGGCCAGTGCAGCATGCAATCACTGTTCCACCGAGCAGACACAGCATGGTGCCTATCCAACCCACAAAGAGAGAGTAGCCGAAATTGAAGAGCCGTGCATTTTGGTGGACTCCCACTGGGAACCAGATTGTGGCAACAGCTGCACAGATTGCTGTAAAATACAAACACAAGTAAGACCACGCATTTATGTAGCATCTTTGACAATGTCTTCCAAACAATAACTTCTAAATCACTTCCCAATCTCAACTGTTGCTTTCCCTGCCCAACCGGGGCCTTATCAAATAAAACAAAGCAATTTGCATTTCAATAGTGCTTTTCTTGACCGCAAGATGTTCCAAAGCACTTTGCCGTCAGTTAAGTCCTTTACTGAAATTAGTCACTGTTGCAAGGAAGAAAACATGGCAGTTAATATTTAGGTAGGAAGATCCCACCAATAGCAATGAGATAATGTTCCAATAATCTGTTTCAGTGATATTGGTTGAGAGGTAAATGCTTTCAAAGGCACCAGCAAGAAGTCATTTGCTCTTCTTCAAAATAACAACACAAAATCCCTTGTGTACACCTGAGACAGCAAGTGGAGCTTGGCTTACCAATCTAAATTTTGTGCTCAAGTCTGGGAAGGACTTGAAAACTATAGTTCTACCAGTCAGTTGCAGCTGACCCCAAGCATTCTTCAGAGTGAGATCAGTTAAAGGAGAGATCCATTTCATGCGAAGGTCTAAGGACCCATGAACTATTTACGGATTGGTAACTATAATCACTCACCAGACAGCGGAGAGGATGAGAGGGTAAGGGACTACCACTTAGATAAACAGACGGAATACAGAATAATCTGATTTCTGTCACAGTTCTCTCTAAGTGAGGTTGTCTGAATAGCACAGTTTTATGTACAGGGCACACAGTTGCATGGAACTGGACTGACCATGCTCCGCATTGATTCCATGTCAAAGCTGAAGAGAAGTGGATATTCACTCTTTTGTTCAACTCTGGGCTCAATCCAAATCAGAGAATGAAATTAGATATGCTAACTCTCAATGAGACTCAACTCCTTTCTCACTGAGATCTTGGAATGACTGGAAGTGGTGATGTGGGGGTACATCTTTCCCAGTAGTTGATCTGGATACTGGTGAACCAGCCATCCATTTTGTAATGATCTTGTTTTCCAATGAAACTGTTAATGTATTAGTAATGTGAATGTGCAGTGACAAAGAGCAACTTCTCTTTTTTGCACATTTTCTCCAGATAGAAGAGAGCTTGCCCATTAAACAGAAATAATTAGGCCGCGAGAAGGCTGGCCCCAGCACTGTCTACTGAATGATGGTTCATATCTCCATGCTTAATAATCAACTACTGAGACACTCTGGTGATCTGTAACTTACCCATCAATATGTAGAGAATGGAACCCAGCAAGGATTGCTTGTGCTTGGAAGAATGGGATTCGGTTCCAAACCGCATACATGGTAATGATGTGAGTATGAGGAGAGTTGCTGGCAGTCCCAGAATGGAGGCAGTGATCATCAGGGCTCGGCTGGTCTGCAGATAGGCTGTGTGAGGGAGAAACAGCTATCATTTATATACCCATTTCAGAGATAGTGGAGATCAGTCAATACCAAGTGAGCTGATTAGTTAAGCTGCTATTGATTTGAAGAGAGACATCACTGGCTGGGCTAGTTTTTATTTTTAGTTTATTCTTAATGGTGGTTCAGCGTATGAGGGATAGAATCAGAGGATCATGATACTTTATGGTATCAAAGATGGTGATTTGGCCCATCAGTTTGTTCTAGCTCGTTGAAAAATTTGAAGATGGTGAGACAATGTAATGTGTGGCAGAATTTGGGATCCATAGCTTTATAAAAAGTGGCATAACATACACAAAATGAAACTTGGATTCAATCTTTATAAATCACAGATTACAGTTCAGCAGAAGCATTGTGTCCAATTCTGGGCACTGCACTTTCAGAACGATGTCAAGATCTTGGAGAGGTGCAGGAGAGATTTACCAAAATATTTGAAAAGATGAGAGAGTAGAGAGATCTGAAAAGCTAACATTGTTTGGTTAAGAGCAAGGAAGGTTAATAAAAGTTTCTACAGATGTGTTTAAAATTATGAAGTCTTTAAGAAAGAGAATAGGGACAAATAATTGCAGGAGGGAAGTCATCAAATATCATTTTTAATTGCCAAAATGTTTGTGAGGAACATTAGGAGAAATTTTCTGTGTTGGGAGTTGTCATGAACTGGAATGCATTGCTTGGAAGGGTAGTAGGAGTAGATTGAATGATAACTTTAGAAGGAATTTGGCTATATTAGGAGCATTGTGTGGGTAGTGCAGTGGATGTTGTCTACATCGATTTTAGTAAGGCATTTGACAGGATCCCACATGGCAGACTGGTCAAAAAAGTAAAAGCCCATGGGATACAAGGTAATGTGTCAAATTGGATCCAAGGTTAGCTTAGTGACAGGAAACAAAGGGCAGTGGCTGATGGCTGCCCTCATGAAAAATGGAAAGCTAATTCAAGTAGTGTTCTACAGGGCTTGGTGTTGGGACCCCTGTTGCTTGTTTCATACATTAACGGTTTCGACTTGAACGTGGGGGGCACAACTGGGAAATGTGCAGACAAGACAAAAATTGGCTGCGTAGTAAATAGTGCAGAGGATAGCTGTAAGCTCGAAAATGATACAGATGGATTGGTGGAGTGAGCAGGAATGTGGCAGATGGAGTTCAACTCTGCTAAGTGTTAGGTCAAACAGTAAAAGAGAACACAAAATAAATGGGAACATACTAGGAGGTGTGGATAAAGTGAGAGATCTTGGTATGCAGGTGCACAGGTCCCTAAAGGTTGTCGTACAGGTAGGTAAAATTGTAAAGAAGGCAAATGGAATGCTCTCCTTCATTGGCAGAGGTATAGAATATAAAAGTAGGGATATAATGGTGAAACTGCATAAGACGCTGGTGAGGCCACAGCTGGAGTATTGTCTACAATTCTGGTCACCATATTACAGGAAGAACATAATTGTTCTGGAGAAGAGTGCACAGTAGATTTGCTAGAATCTTAATTGGACTGGATAATTGTAGCAATGATGAGAGATTGAAGAGGTTGGGGTTGCTTACTTGGAACAGAGAAGGCTGAGGAGCAATATGATTGAGGTGTACAAAATTATGAGCGGCAGAGATAGAGTAGACAGGCCGAACCTGTTTCGCTTGACAGAAAGTTCAAACACCAGGGGTCATAGATTCAAGCTTAGTGCAGAAGGATTAGAGGGGGCATATGGAAAAACTTTTTATGCAGAGAGTGGTGGGTGTCTGGAATTCATTGCCTGAGTTGGTATTGAATGCAGAAACCCTAAAACTTTTCAAAAAGCATCTGGATCTGCACCTTGAGTGCTGAAAGAAGTTTTAGAAAGGGCATCTAGGTGTCTTTGGGTTAGCATGGACTAGATGGGCCAAATAACCCCTTCCATGCTGTATTATTTCTATGGTTCTTAAATGACCCTGCCACTCACTTCTTCCTGTGATATCCCTACCATACTCTACACAACCAATCCATTTCAATCCTCCCTGTCAGACGTCTTCTTCCCATGCCATCCTGCTCACCTATTCCAAGGCGCCCAATGTCCCTAGTGACATTCTATCTCTCCTTTCCCTCCAACGTTCTTCCTTCCCTTCCATTTATTTCAGTCCTTTCTTCCCATGCAATCTTCCCTTTGCCTATCTTGCTTTCCACTTTTTAGCTGCTTTTTTTAAACTGGAAAAACAAGGGTCTCGTATGTGTAAAGGGTTGGAATTGAGTGCATTACCTTGCCATGTAATGATATACCAATTACATTTTACTATTTATACTAAATAATTATTTATATACACTAAATAATATAATTAGTGTAGTGATTATATGAGTTCAGTGATTGGGGCTGTTAATTTAGTCCAATCAGGGAGCCTTGTCTGACAGATATGAACAGACGTATCAAACATTCACTCTTGAGATCTGCCTCTGAGGGAGCTGGATGAGTGTTGAGGACTCCCCACGTGAGAATAAATGGTGACTTGGTGACAGTATACTGGCCTTATTCGAGTTGTTTCAATTAGTTTATGTAGTTACACTTAATGTTACATAAATCGTACATAGCCTGGAAATCCTGGTTCAGACAAGGATAATGATTGCTTGGTTGCAGAAGTGAGTGGGTTTAGAGGGGGTCAACACAACAGTGACAAATTAGTGTTCCAGAAAGCATTAGCACCTTCATTGCAAAATAGGAGTGTCATATTGGAAAGCAGACAAAATAAACTTCTGAAACTTTTAAGCATTTTCACCATTGGACTTTTGCAATCTATATGACTATTGAACAACTAAAACCCCTATCTTTCACTAAGGGCTGAGTGCTGCTCACTCTTTTTGACCTAACTGTTTGAGGATTATCTGTCCTATGCGACGTGTATGGAAGGAAGACATTCAAAGCTAGGAAAGGAAATCCCAACATTGACTGATTCATCTAGTTCCAGCACATTTCCTGTTAGATCATCAGACAGAAATAGGATGTGACTATAGTAGGTCCAGAATTTAAAATAATGCTTGAAATTGTTTTCTGTAATGTAGCTCACTGAATTGTCCTTGATATTGGGATGAGAAAGGGAGCAGGGTGTTTTGAGTGAGGTGCTTCAGAAGCACATTGAGAAGAGCCTGAGATATGGGAAGAATTTGGATCCATAGGGTTGCATTTTGAAGTGAGTCAGGCATGTCCTTTCACAATCTGGTACAGATTCATAAAACCATTAAAAAATAAACAGAGAACTTGGGTTTATCTCTCAAAAAGATGGCATTGAAAACTAAAGAAATTACATTAAACTTGTACTGAACCTTAGTTGAACCTTAGTGTGCTAATTGTCGAAGGATATAGAGGCACCAAAGAAAGTGCAAACAAGATTTCCAATGATGATACAAACCATCAAAGATTTGTCTCTTTTGGCTTTGAAACAGAAGGGTAAGGGGATGACCTCTCAGATATTTGGGGGTGGCATGGTGGCTTGAGATAGCATGATGGATCAATGGTTAGCACTGCTGCCTCACAGTGGATCACACACTGTCCATGTGGATCATGCACTGTCCTCTGACACTCTACAATAGTAGCTCACTCATAGACTCTCACACTCTGGGACAATGGTTCACAACACTGTCCCTTCACACTTTGGAACAGTGATTCACAGACTGCCGTCTCACCTTCTGGGACAATGTATCACACACTGTCATTTCACACTCTGGGACAGTGGGTCAGAACAATATCCCTTCACATTCTGGAACAGTGAGCCACAGGCTGTCCTCTTACATACTGGGACAGGAGGTCACACAATGTCATTTCACATTCTGGGACAGAAGATCACCTTTTTCTGTAAATCAGGAAATGGGGCAGTGAAAAGAAAATAACGTAATACCAAGGTGAGACAAAGCGTGAAAGGAAGGGAGAAGGTGAATCATACAGAAATGTACAAGGATCAAGCTAGCGAGAAAAGTGAAAAGTGTCGAAGAATAGAACTGAAGGTTAGCATTTGGATGGACAAATGAGGAAAAAGAGAGGTATATCAAGACCATGAGGGAAAAAAGAAAGAGACGGGGTATCAATAAAATTAAACAGGGTAGACAGAAAAATGAAGAGAGACCAAGTCAGTCAGGCAGACAGATGGTGAATATCTTAAAGCCAGACACGCTATAATATAAAACCCATAGACAATACGAAAGGAAACCTGATCACCACATTGTTGATGCTGGGATTGGACTGACTGCTGAATAAATGGCTTGTCGGTAAAGGGCAAAGTAACTTGCATTTTCACCTATTCAATGCCAATAGCATAACGTCACAATGATTATTAATTATTTACTTTCAAACAAACAAAAAACAAATGAAAATCTTTGCCAAACGTTCTTTGATTTTTGCCAAGTTCATGCCCCTTTAAGTTGCTTCAGCTCGCCTCATTTCCTTTGGTCGTATAGTGCAGAACCCAGCTGCTATCACGCTTTCACGGATTACACAACTACAGCTGCAAAAGCATTGACTTCAGCCACAATTTCACTCACACGGTGCTATCTTTACCTTGACCTACGCTTGGAATAATAACTGGGAACTGCAGCAAATTAAAAGGGTTATGAGCCATTATTTTATCCGTGATGGTGGAATTGTGGTTGGAAAGGTTTGTTGAAAACAGGTATGGGACTTTCCCCATCTAGCTGTCCACTGTCTGTGGAAAGCACAGCACATTGTAGTCACAAAACTAAGAGAGATCAGGGAGCAAGAGGCATTGGTAAATCGTGGTTCTGTGAGTTTGAAGACTGTGTGTTCGATTCCTACTCCAGTGGTTTTAAGGCCCTAATCCAGACTGATCCTCCTAGAACACAACTGAGGGAATGCCGCACCATTTGAGATGTCATGTTTCAGATGAGATGTTGAAACAAGGACTTGTCTGTCATCTCAGTAAATATAAAACACCTGACATCATTTCACTGATAGTAGAATTTTCTGATATTTGTTTTTCAACCAAAATCACAAGGAACCACAGGTT